GACTAGTACAGTGGTGGTCGATGCGATGCTTGCATGGTACAGCAGGTTTGGACTGCCTCCATTGTGGATAAGTGATCAAGGATCACACTTTAAAAACGAGGTGATGACTGAATTGTGCAGAAGGCTAAAGGCACGGCACGAGTTTACCGTGGCCGACAGCCCGTGGATAAATGGGAGCGTAGAGCGAGCAAATCGAGATATTATACAAGTTCTTCGTGTGTTGTGCCTTGAGTACAAGATAGACATACACGACTGGACGTTCTTCTTGCCGCTACTGCAATCCAGCCTGAACCACACACCGGTGCCCTCATTAGGCAACCGGGCGCCAGTTGAATTGTTCTGTGGGCTACCACTGCCATCACCTTTAACATTGTGCATGGACAAACGACAAAAAGAACTACTGGAGATACCTGTACACCCTCCAGCCGTATCAACTTGGTTGGGGAATTTTAGGAAAAGTATTCGTGACCTGCACAAGCCAATGACACAGGAACGTGAACGGCAGACAGTGCGCAACCAACGAGCCCAACGGCCTGCTCGCTCTCCAAACTTTGATGTGGGAGACTTTGTGCTGCGGTCGAGAGTAGACCAAAAGCACTACGAAAAGCTGTTAGTCACCTGGGTGGGACCTTACCAGGTAGTACGAGCAGACAAACACTATTTCGCTGTTCTTCATCTATTGACAGGGGAGGAGGTGGATGTTCACCCGTCCCGCTTGAAGTTCTACGCCGATCACTCACTACAAGTTACCGAAGAGCTTCGGAACCACATCGCCGCCCAAGGACTGATGCTGTCGGTGGCCGAGCTCAAAGAAGCTCGGTGGAACAAAGCCAAAAAGGACTATGAAGTCCTGGTGAGTTGGAAAGGACTTGAGTCGATCGAAGGCTCCTGGGAAGTATCAAAGCAGCTCAGTACGGACATACCTGTTCTGCTAACACAATTTGCGTCTCGATCGAACGACAGACGGTTCGAGCGGCATGTTGCTGCACAAATCAAACCAAAGCCGAGGCCTACAGATCGGTCACAACTGAAAGCATAACAGAACTTGCAAACAGACATTTACGAGTGATGAAGACTTTGGGAGGGCAGTGTAGTGGAGAGCTTTAACCGAACAAGTCTCCATCCACTCGCAGGGCATCGCATAAGTGCGATGCCGAGCTGGCGACTACTTAGGAGTTAGGAAACCACTCGAGAGCCTACAGGCGGTTCTTGAGAGTAAGAGGACAGAACAGAATCTACACATTAGGACTCACAATAGACTTGGGTTCACCAGGAAGCGCCAGCTTCCCTAGCAGAGTGTTATTCGTTTGACCTACTACAAGGACTGTGGATTGGTATGACTGCTGGCAACGTCTTAGCCTTAAGTGTGATGGCTGTGCTCATGCAGTTTTATTGGAACTGGGATGGCCTAGCGGATGATGCCCAGACACGCACTGATCTGTAGGTGTAGCGATCCTTACATGGAGATCAATAACGGTACTTCATATTCGAGTTTAAAACGAGATTACATACAGAAATATCTGCAAGTAGCAATAGAATAACAACTATTAAATTAATAGTTCTGAAGTAAAAGAAAATATTGATTCCTGAAAACTTCCGTAATAATTTTGCAAGAAATAGCAATAAGTTTAGGAGCAGATTTTGTTTTCGAGTTAATGGTGTTGACAAGCAAGGGAAAACATCAGATTACGTGACGAAAGCTTCAGCCGACGGCATTATTACTACCGGGTGACCTTATTGGTTCCAGCCGCCGAAAATTATTGGCATGCTGTTAGATCGTATATGTCATTGGGCCAAATTAATTTTCATTACTGTGCTTAAATTTTATTATAAAATTAATGTAGTGAATTCAAATATTTCACAATGGGCATAATTTTCAATAATTCTAAGTGAGGGGCAATTATTTTAAATTATTTACAAGAATTAATGAAAATGAATTAGTTTTATGATTTCAATTTAAAGAGACTAAAATTAATATTCGGTGTGCCGAATTAATCTTCAGTACTGAAAAGCTACCTTGCAATATGCAATAACAACTATCAACAAGAAACTTGTTGTTATGAACGACTAACCTTCACGGAACTATTCCAGAACAGTATCATTTGTTATGTCGTATTCGACATCTTCGCAAGGGCAGCGAACACTGACTGAGGCTGTGCCAACAACTCTGACGGAGTGTCAAACTCCACGACACGACCAGCGTCCATCACGGCGATCTTGTCGCAATGCATGATCGTGTTGATACGGTGCGCGATGACCAGCACCGTCTTGTCCTTGAACGTCTCCTTGATGGTCGTCTGGATGAGTGCGTCGGTGGCTGTATCCACATTAGCCGTGGCCTCGTCCAGCACCACCACCTTACTGTCCTTGAGCAGTGCACGACCGATGCAGATGAGCTGACGTTGACCCACTGACAGGTTGTCTCCACCTTCTGCCACCTCGAAGTCGAGGCCAGCTCCCCAGCATCGCAGACTATCAGCCATGTGAACCTGTTTGAGTACGTTCCAGATACGCTCATCCGAATACTCGTGGAACGGGTCGAGGTTTTCACGAAGGGGTCCGCTGAAGAGCACGGGGTCCTGCGGGATGATGGCGAGGCTACGTCGGAGTTCACGGAGGTTAATAGTAGCGATATCGACATCGTCGATGAATACACGTCCGCTGTCGAAGTCGCAGATACGGAAGAGCGCAACCATAAGCGAAGATTTCCCAGCTCCGGTACGTCCACAGATACCAACTTTCTCACCGGCAGCGACGCTCATATCAACACCTTTGAGTACAAGTTGAAGTTCTGGTCGGTAACGTAGGCAAAGTCCCTCGAACCGAACTGCACCACTCCACGGCCAAGAGTGACCTGATCCAGCATTCATCTGGTGACTACCAGCTACCAGATCGTCAATCTGCTCGCCGCCATCATCTTCGCGCTCGATTTCGCGGAAGAAAAGTAGTCGCTCCACGCTCGTTGTCGCGTTATCAACACGATCCACAGAGCGCATAACCCACTGAATGACCGACGTGAGCATAAGCGCATACGTTAGTGACAGCCCTGACGTCATTGAGCCGATTTCGCCGCGTGTAGCCACCAGATACAGCGTGACGACGAAGATGATGACCACGGACATGAGATCTAGACGCGTTGCAAGCCAGCGACTAGCAGACCAGTACGTCAAGTACATGTTTGCATTCGTATCTACAACTTGGCGGTTGCGCGCAGAGAATTCCCTCTCCATACGGAACGCACGGATCGTCGGAAGTCCCGACAGAGTCTCGCTAAACAGATTGTAAACCGGAGTGCGTGTGATGCCTTCCAGTCGCTTGAGTTCACGTGAGGTTTTCTTAAAGTATTGCCCCGTCATGACGAAGATAATGAAGAGAGGAATGTAGGAGATCCCAATCCAATACGACGCAAAAGCCGAGACCACCAATGAGCCGAGAGCCATTGATACGTTTTGGAAGAAAAGCTGGTACTCCAATGGCAACGTTGTATCCATTTGGTCCAAATCATTTGAAAACCGGTTCAGAATCTGTCCGATCGGAGTCACATCGAAATACCGAGTTACAGGAGCACGTAACACGCGACGGAATAGCTCGTCGTGCATGTGTTGTGACGAACGCATGCACGACTCGATCATCATAACTCCACGTATCAAAGTCAGGATTGAGCACAGCACGATAAGCCCGAGATACCACATGCCGAACGTCGTTCCAGAGTACGTCGGGTCCACTTCGCGTCGAGGCATGTTGCGAGCCCAATGACCAGGCCACCAATCCACTGTGGTCCGCGCACCTTGACCCACACAATACATGATACTGATCACTAGCACCACCATCCAGCCATTAACCCCAGTCTCGTCAAAATACGCCTTGTAGACGTGCGCTCCAACCGTGCCTTTGACACGATCTTCAGCGCGAATCAAACGACATGCTGAAGCTTTCTCGACTTCAATGACTTCTTCCTTTTCAGCTTGAACATCCTCAACGTCCTCACTTTTTCTTGTCTCTGGCGATTCAGTAGCTGTCTTACCGTCTTCGGACTCGACCACAGACTTGTGATCAGTGTGTTCTGATGCTAGGGACGGGAATTCCGCCAGTACATTTGCATACGAGCCATGACCGACGATAGCGCCATCGTGCATAACCACAATCTGGTCGGCATGTGCCAAGAGATCGTAGTGGCTATTCAACACCAGCAACCGAGTCTGATCGCCTGCCATACCAACGATACACTTGTCGAAAATCGCATGAGCTACGTGGGGATCCACAGCACTCAACGGATCATCCAAAATCAGCACATCCGTCCCTGTCCGGTACATCGCACGAGCGATAGCCACTCGAGCTTTCTGACCGCCACTCAAGTTGATGCCACGTTCACCAATCTCCGTCGAGTCTCCGTTGGGTAGAGCTTTCAGGTCCATTGCCAGTTGTGACGCATCCAGTATCTGTTCGTATCGTTCAGCATCGTAGTCTTGCTCGAACAGAATGTTATCACGCAGAGTTGCATTGCGGATCCAGGTGTCTTGGCTAACATACGCCACGCGTCCACCGATTTCCAGCACACCAGACGTGCGCGACATCTCACCAAGAAGAGCACTAAGGAGACTAGACTTACCAGACCCAACCTTACCCACAATCATCACCAGTGAACCACGCTCGATTTCCAAGTTGATCCCTTCAAGTTTGAAGCCACTGTTAATGTTGCTTTGGGTGTCTTCGCTCTCTGTTGCTGCCACTACAACCTCTGTTTGTGAGGTGGTAGGCCACTCAAAGTTGGCGTTGCGGATGGAAATTCGCCCGTGGCCGATCGATGAACCGTAAACATCATTAGTACTAGCAAGTAGTGGAGACTTGGCCGTGGGTGTGCTACCTTCTGGCAGAAAAAATGGCTGGGTGTCTATCTCGGCACTAGCGAGGAAAGCATCCAAACGAGCGTACGAGATCTTGGCCTTGAAGATGCCCGCGACGGCCTGAGGAAGTTGATTCAGCGCCGTTCGGCAAATGTTGACCATGGCCACAAGCGTGAACGCCTCCACGACTGTAATAGTGTGATGAATGAGCACGTAGATGCCCAACGTAACACCGGAGACGAAGCTTGGCGTGAGGAACAGCATGACCGTATTGACGACCTGGTACATGTGGAACTTCCGTAACAAACTCACCTCCTTCACTCGAAGTTTCTCCACGCGTTGGGCCAATGATTCCTCCCACGCGTAGAACTTCATAACGCGAATACCTTGCAGCGCTTCAGACGTAACTTTAACACGCTCGTCAATAACCTTGAGTAGTTTCTTCTGGAAGTCAGCAATGCGACGTCCTTGCTTGGCCGAAATGGCCATCACGACGGCCAGCACAACTGCTCCTCCAAGAGCTGAGTAGAAATCGAAGAGAATGCCGATAAGCACAACCGAGATAATGAATGATAGCGGACCCATAAACAGCCACGGGCCCTGGATCATCAGCAAGAACACCCGCTCCGTGTCGACGCTCATGAGCGTCAGCACCTCGCCGGTCGTGTAATCCTGTCGCGCGGCACTCGACAACTTCAAGGCCTTATCGAACACGAGCGACATGGTCAAGGACCGCATGTTGGCACCTATACGCGACGCCGAGAAGAAGACGTAGTTGAGTGCACACACGGCCACGAGCGAGCTGAGCGTCATCATGACCATTAACCAGTAGCCACTGGAGATATGAAACAGGTTCTCTTCCTCATTCAGGAACTGGAGAATAGCCTGCGCCACGTACGACTGCAGAGCCAACGCGACCACGTACAACACGCAGGTTATCAACACGAACGTGAGTTCGGTCTGGAACGTCCGTGCGTACGCCACAGCTAGTGGCGATAAATTGAACCAGTGCCGACGGTTTGGCTCGTACACTTGCCGGAATCGTTTCTCGAGCGATTCGCACGCATCACCCGAGCAAATGGGCCACACGTCCTCCTTCTCGAGCACGCGTCGAGCTCCCAGTGATACCATGGGCTGAATCCATTGAGCCAGGATGATGGAGGGCAGCGACGCAGTGGCCAACGGGTTCGGCTGGTGGCTGAATGGCGTCGACGGCTTGGCCCGCGGCGTTGCCGGCGACTCATGGTAGCTCCGGTCTTTCCCCTCGTCCATCGTCCAGCAGTGACGAGGTCGCTGCAAATCGAGGAACGACACAAAGGACGGCCAGCCAAACGCACACTCAACACGCACGTGAGACCGTCCATCTCGAACCTTTTACGGATGACACGCGAGCGTCGAGATAGTGGACCTTGGTATCACCAAAATGCGTTATAGCACGCAGCAACTGATGGGGACGGCATCTCTATTTGCTGTGGGTGGGTTATTGCTCGAGTCCTCCATGCCTACTATCCTATTCTTCCAAAACGTTAACTGCTAAGTGTTGACCCTACTTCATCTTGCTCACCAGTGCCTTGTACGCGTCCTGGATCTTCTTGCGGTCTCCCGTCGCGACCTGTTCCGTGTACGGGCCTGCGAGTTCAGGCGGACAGCCCAGCGACGGCAGGAACACGTCGCGCAGGAACGTCAGGTACTCGATGCCCAGCGAGGCCACCAGAACGGCCTGCATGTTGACGATCTCCTTGACAGCCAGCATCGTCTGCATGTCGTCGATGTCGAAGTGACGCATCTTGGTCACGGCGAACATGGCGCTCGTAAAGTCCTGTACGGCAATCTGCGTGAACCGCGCTTTGCCGTCGACGGACAGTTCGGCGTGGAGTTCGGCGCGCAAAGCCACGGACGCGGCCGACGTGGCTGCCGTGGTCGCGCCGGACGCCTCACTCGCCGGCGACGGAGCCATTCCGTTGCCGATCCAGCGCTCAACCAGCATACTGCCAATCGAGAAGCACGCGCGGTTAATGTTGGCGTCCTGCACCTCGGCACAGCCCTCCAGCACGAGACGCAGCATGTTTTCCAGCTGCGTGACGTTCTGCGCGCTGATCAGCACGGCGTCCAGGCCGTGCGTGACCAGGTGCAGCAGGAACGTGTATAGATACTTCTGTGTGGCTTCACGTTCGAGCTGCGGTGCGTCCTTCGTCTCGCTGTTGGTCAGTGCAGTGCGTTCCGGCATCAACGCACACAAGTGCTGTACGAACGGCAGCGTCGTCTTGTCCAGAAATCTGCCCAAAGCCTGTTTGTGCTTGATAATAAGCTGGTCCACCAGTTGCACGACCTCCACCACTTCGGGCTGTTCGCAGCCCATCATAAGCGTCTGCAGAGTCTCCTGTACGTTGCCCAAAAAGTGTTCACGGTCGAGCACCGTCGTCAAGCGATGCAATGTAAAAATCACCTTGGAGCGCACGCGCGGCGTACGGGGCAGTGCGCGCAGCACGCACGCCGCGGCCGTGAGCACCTGTGTGAACGTTTCCTGGTGGTTCTCCATGCAGTCTGTGCCCTTGAACGCCTTCAGCACGTGGGCGATGGCGTTCAGGTGGGACGCGCAGCGTTGGGTGACATACTCTTCATCAGTCAGCGTACCACTCGCCAACTCATTGAGAGTCGTGTTCAAGCCCTGCAGGAGCGGGTCCAACACGGCGATCGTGTACCGGTATCGTAGCTGTTTGGCGTTCATGCCTGTCTCCTCTGGTGGGAGCACGAGCGAGGCAATAATTTGGCCAGCAAGCTCGAACAGGTACAACTGATCCTCGTACGCTAGATACGTTGGGTTGTTCTTGCTAGCTAGCTCTTGACGCTCGTTGGGAATCGCAAGACGCGGCTGCAACGCGGTGAGGATACTGGACGCGTGAGGGTTAACCGAGGCTCCGATAGCCTTCACAAGACGCAAGCACAGGTAACACACACGAGAGCGCACGTGCGCGGCCGGGTGTGCCAGTCCGCGTGGGCCGAACATCATCTCCAGTACTGCGGGGATCAACGCTGATTCATTCTGCAATACTTTACTGTATCGCACGGCCAAGTCATAGTAAGTAAGCAACACGGACGGGTGCAGCACGGCCGCGCTGTTAGACGCGGCGAGCATACTGCTGTGAATCTGGACGACCATGAGGGAAAGCGGACTCGTTGGTTCGTTAAAAGGAGTAGCCACGGCCTTCAAAGGCGCAATTCCCTCCTTGAATCGATGAACAAGAGACAAGAAGCTCTCGAGGTCACGTGGATCAATCTCAGCGAACTGTCCCGGCAGATTTTGAGCCAAATTCGTGAGGAAAGCAAGCGTGTCGTGCGGACGCTGGCGAATAATGTTGAGGAAAATAGTGTACTGACTGCGTCGGTATTCTTCGAACTCTGCAACGTCCGAGTCCGAGTCCTCCGGGAACCGCGTCTGTCGATAAATTCCATGTAAAATCTGAGGGATATACTCCGACGGCCTGAATACTTCCGCTTCGCTCTGAGGCTTACCGGCAGCCTGTGTCTCGGTACGAAGCAACGCGCCACCCACTGCGTTCACGATCTCAAAAACTTCTTCAGACACGTCCTTTGATTCATGGGCAAAGAGTTCCCAAACAAGCGGCATAAGCTGGCACAGCATCGCCCCGCTGGCCTGAAGCAGGTCGGCCCGGTTCGTGTGACGGAAAGCGTCCATGCACGTCACGAGCTCCACACCTACTGAGTTGATTACTTCGCCAATTTCCTCGGCAAACTCATCGTCCTCGCGGATCGGCAACGCGGCCAGCATCTCCAGTATCTGTAGCTGCTGTAGCATGGCCAGCTTCTTCTCCGGCGTCATACCCTTGTCAATAACCTCGAACACGCAGTTGGCCGCTTGACAGCGGAACGTCTCGCTCTCACGCAACAGCTTAATAAGCAATGGCCATAACGTATCGTTCACCACGAGGCCGATATCCACCCAGCTGATGTATCTCTTGAGTGTTTCCAGTGCACTCGCACTCAACTGACGCATGACGTCGCTCGCGTCTGCATTTACCAGCACGCGCGCGATGGCGTCAAAGCTCTCACGCATGCAGGATCCTTCGCGCATGGCGTCCTTAATCCTCATATTGTGCGCAGCCTCCTGTTGCGTTCTCTGTGCGTCGAATTCGACGATCTCTTCGTTGATGGCCAGCAAAATACGAAAGTACATCTCCACAATAGACGCGCCTTGAGGCAGGAGCGCTAATAACTCCGTAAAGGCCGTCGGCCAGCGGTCCGGGTAGTCTCTTTTAATGAGTAGGGTGATGACGACGGCCAGTTTGGTCTTGAGGAAGGGCGACTTGCTCTCCACGTAGGCCACATGGCTCTGCAACCAGGCCAACAGCTCCACGCGGACCGCCAGAGCCACATCATCGGCAACACCTTTGGCCAGCGCCTCCTGTAGAGCTTGCAATGCGTAGAACTTGACCTGCTCGTGTTCCGAATGTTCGAAGAGCCTCAACTCGGCACGCCAACCGTCCGCCTGGGCCTTGACGGCGTTGCAGAAGCTCTCGGCCTGAAGCTTGAGCGTCTGTGCTTGTTGATCTGCAGGGCTGGCACTCGCGTACTCGAAGGCGATTAGTACTGCCCGCTCGAACTCACCCACGTCCGCCATGCTGGAACTAGATAGATAAGGTCGCTTCAGAGAGGCTTTCGATGGTAAGATGAGGACGTTGGGAAGTGACCAGGGGTGCAATGCGGAGAGAAGACGCTGGCGAAGACGATGAACGTAGTGGCCCAGTCAACACCCGCCTGGAGAACGCGCTGGACGAGGGCGTAGGTCGGATCGGAGCAGCAGCAAGTGCTCGCCACCAAAAACCGTAGACCTTTCCGATACAATTTCCAAGTAAAATATGCCTGTTCTCAATTGGTTGATGAAACATTAACCTATCTTTTTGATTGGCTCGTCTTCAAATGGCTACATTCAGCTTAGAAGATGGCTACATTTGTGATTTTTACGAACGACGACAAGTTGCCTTTTTTTTATCGTGAGATTTGTTTGTGCATTCCTCTCTGCATTACTCAATTGGCCAGGAACACGAGAGCTTGCAATCCTTCGCGGCCTCATGGCTGGCAACGACGGCCACTATGTGGAATCTTCGCCCACCAACTCCACCAATTTCATTGCGAAGCCATCTCGTACTCAATTCAGCCAAGTACCCAATCCGTTAGCCAAAGCTTCAATTCCATCAATTGCATTGGCGCAATGGATGCAGCCAATGATCTCACTAGGATCTCGACAAGTTTTGGAGCTCGACGACATGTGGCCCGTATGTCCTTCAGACGCCTGCGAGTCACTCGAAACACGCTTCAAGCGACACTATGAACCTCATCGATCTCACGTTTTTGGACTCTCACCCGTGTTCGTGGCGTATATGAAGACGTTCCAAGTGCAGATCACAGTTGTGTTCATGGGCTGCGTCGTATACGTGCTGGCTTTAGGGCTGCAGACCTACGTGACGAAAGCGCTGTTGGAATTCCTGAACGGCGAGGAGAATGGGTTCGGTATCGAAGATGGCTACTGGCTTGTAGCCATGATGACCGGTAGCTCGCTTGTGGCTGTGTGTGCATTGAACTATCTTTTCTTCGTGGCGTCACGTATTGGAACGAATATGCGCTCGTTGACAATGTCGCTGGTGTATGAGAAGGCGTTAAGACTCTCGAGTGCAGCGAGACAGGAGTATACGACCGGAGAGATCTTAACACTCATGAGTGTCGATACAGAGCGTGTGTTTACTGCGATGGTGCAGGGTCCATGGCTCGTTATGGGGCCGTTAGCGTTTATGGTGTCCTGTATACTGATTGGATTTCTATTTGACCTCTATTCAGCGCTGGCTGGTGCAGTGGTACTCATAGCCGTTATGGTTATCTCTATTCAACAAGGAGACCGTATCGCTGAACTGCAAAGGCGGCTGCTAAGAGTTATCGATGAACGTGTTAAGGTTACATCCGAGACGTTACAGGGTATCCGTGTTATGAAGTTCTACGCGTGGGAAGATTCTCTAGCTCAACGCGTGGAGAAACTTCGAGTTAAGGAAGTGAGTTTGTTACGGAAGTTCCACTCATACCAGGTCGTGAATACGGTCATGCTCTTCATCACTCCGACGTTCCTATCTGGCGCTACATTGGGAGTGTATGTGTTAATTAACCATACCATAACGGTGGTGGAGGCGTTCACGCTCGTCGCTATGGTTAACATCAGTCGCGCTGCACTGAATCAACTTCCACTAGCTATCGGAGGCTTGTCGAAGGCCAAGATCGCATACACTCGAATTGACGCGTTCCTCTCTAGCAGCGAAGTTTCAACGATAACGGTTAAAGATACAGCCGATCGAGGTCGTATTTCGATCCGAGAGGGGGTGTTTGAATGGCCTGGAAACCCGACAGTGAGCGACATTATCGTGGTGACACCAGCACTTGAAGAAACTGACGACGACAACCTTGATAAGGCTGCGTTTTTCTCCATTGACACGCCCAAAGTGGAGAACAATGAAATTGAAAACCCGGCATTATTCCAAGCACAACATGAGGTTAAACAAGGCTTCCAGCTTCGTGGTGTGAATCTAGAGATCGAGTCTGGATCGCTGGTCATGATTGTCGGAACGGTAGGCGCAGGTAAATCCAGTCTCATTAACGCCATCCTTGGTGGCATGCCACGAACCACCGGTGTGCTGGAAATCGGTGGACGCGTGGCGTATGTTAGCCAAGACACCTGGATCCGCAATGCAACTCTGCGTGATAACATTCTGTTCGAGCAAGACTACGATGCTGAACGATACGAACAGGTACTGGATGCGTCACAACTGGCAATGGATCTGAAAGCTCTACCCAACGGAGACTCGACGGAGATTGGTGAACGTGGCATCAACTTGAGTGGCGGTCAGAAGGCTCGAGTGGCTATCGCTCGTGCGATGTACCGGGCAGGGACGGATGTGCTGATTTTGGATGATCCGTTGAGTGCTGTGGATCCCCACGTAGCTCATGCGATTTTCGACAAGTGTATCGCTGGTATGGCAGGCGATCAGACTCGGTTGCTGGTGTTGAATAGCCACTATGATCTGCTGGATAGAGCTGATCACATTGTGATGATGAATGACGGCGTGATTGTTGCGCAAGGATCGTATCAAGACGTACTTACCCAATTCCCGCACTTAGGAGCGCCCATTACCACAATTAAGGAGGATACTGTTGAACCTGTTTCTTCAACTGGGAATGACATCGACACAATTAAACAGGATCAAGTCATTGGCAAACGGACAGATGAAGCCCAAAGCACCGTGAAAGCAGAGACGGAGAAGCAGGACAAAGCTGGGCGTTTAATTCGGGCCGAAGACCGAGTGAAAGGGAAGGTTGGTGGACGTGTGTACAAGACCTACTTCGACGAAACTGGTTTCAATGGATTGGTCGTTATCTTCGTGATTGTCGCTGCTTATTGCGCTGGTCAAGCTGCACGAACGGTTGTTGACTGGTGGCCGGGGCATTGGGCTCGCAACATGCCTCGCCGAGGGGTGGACCCGACGTATTCGAACACCACATTCGGTATGTGGTATCTCGGGTTTCTTGCGCTTTGCACAGTGTTATCCTTTGGTCGCGCGTTGATGATCATCGAGTCGTGTGTTCGATCGTCGCGAAATATGCACGACGAGCTCTTCCGACGCGTTTTAAAGGCCCCCGTAACGCGATACTTCGACGTGACTCCTATGGGTCAAATATTGAACCGCTTCTCGAACGATCTAGACCAAATGGACTCGATTCTGCCTCAAGAGTACCAGTTACTCCTTCAAAACGTGTCGCTGGCTTTCGGTGCGCTGATCGTCTCGGCATTCGCTTCATACTGGATTGGCGTTGCGTATATCCCCATCTTCCTCATTTTCCTCTACATCGGACAATATTTCAAGAAATCTTCGCGAGAAATTAAGCGGCTCGAGGGCATCACACGAACGCCAGTGTACAATCTCTTCGGCGAAACTCTGTCGGGTCTCGATACGATTCGCGCGTTTCGTATGAACGAGAATTTCACCAAACAGAATCGACGAGTGGTGGATGTTAACGCAAATTTGTACTTGACGTACTGGGCTGCCAGTCGATGGCTGGCCACTCGACTTGACTTTCTGTCGGTCGCGATCATATTTATTGTCTCGCTGTACCTCGTAGCTACCGCCGGGTCGGTTGGATCGTTGACGTCTGGGCTCTCACTCACGTATTCGCTCATGTTGACATCGATGGTGCAGTGGGTTATGCGTAGTGTGGATCGCACAGACAACGCCATGACGAGTGTGGAAAGACTGCTGTCCTTCCGTCAGATTGAAAACGAAGGCGACGAGGGTAAACATGTTGATGAATTGCTCGAGCACGGTTTAGCTGGAATAGCGAAGTCGTGGCCGTCTCGAGGAGCTATTCGGTTCGACCACCTATGTCTGCGATACCGACCAGAACTTCCACTTGTACTCAAAGGTGTTGATATGGACGTCGCTGCCGGTGAGAAAGTCGGTATCTGTGGACGCACCGGAGCTGGGAAATCTTCGCTAATGGTCGCGCTCTTCCGTATCTGCGACTTCGACAGCGGACGTGTATTCATCGACGATGTTGATATCGCTACTATTAACCTCCGTGAACTCCGACGTAGCCTCGCCATCATCCCGCAGGACCCCGTGCTCTTCAGCGGACCCCTTCGTGAAAACCTCGACCCGTTCCACGAGTACTCGGATGAGCGTATCTGGAACGTACTCAAACAGGTTCACATGGCTGATAGTCTGCGACGCTGGGGAGCTGGTCTTGACTTCGAGGTGGCAGAAGGTGGAGACAACCTGTCAGTGGGTCAACGTCAGCTCATCTGTATCGGTCGCGCACTGCTCAAGGACAGTAAGGTGGTGGTGCTGGACGAGGCCACGGCTAATGTGGATACAGCTACAGACGCACTCATCCAGACGACCATCAAGGAGACGTTCGAGGACAAGACGGTGCTAATCATCGCGCACCGTATCAACACGATCATGCATTGCGACAAGATCGCCGTGATGGACGCTGGTCGTGTCGTGGAGTTTGACACTCCGTCAGAGTTGTTGGCACAGCCTCAGTCAGTGTTTGCAGCGTTAGCAAAGCGATCTGGTACAGTTTAAAAGAATTAGAGTCTTTACAGTTCACACTTTTTGAAAAATTTGAAGCTGTTACCATGTTGTCCTGTTACAAATTCGTGCGTGTCTGAGCATCGTCCGCCAGTCTATCCCAGTTCCAGTAAAACCGCATGAGCACAGCCATCACACACACGGCCAAGACGTTGCCTGCAGTCATACCAATCCACAGTCCTTCGACACCTAGGTCGCACTGGAAGGCTAGTAGGGCTCCAAATGGAACTCCGAATAGATAGTACGCCACCGCGTTCGCGATCGCAGCAGATTTCTGCTTACCCGCGCCACGGAAAACTCCTTGCGTCACAGCATTCAGTCCGTCAACGATCTTCTGGGGCGACATAAGCGCCATCACCCTAGCAGCTAGATCAGCGCTTTTACCTTTGTCCAGGAACAGGAGAGGGATGTAGTCACTCAGTCCAAGCGTGAGCCCCGCAAAGAACAACGTAACGATCAGTGTGATCACCAGTGCAACGTTACGAACCATCTTGGCCTTCTTCGGCATGTTGGCTCCAAGACAATTACCCACTCGAATGTTAGCTGCTACCGAGAGACCAGCAAATGTCGTATACACCAGCATATCGACGTTGACCAACACGGAATGCGCCGCGACTGCAACAACACTATCGGGCAGCAACCCTGCTAGGATAGTAAGGGCTTCAAAAGCCCACATTTCCATACCAAGCATCAGCATTCCAGGCACACCAAGTCGCAGAAAGAGGCGCACGTATCGAATCGCAGCTTTGAAATCCCATGGATGACACCACCACTGCTTCAAATGGTGCGGACGCCACACGAGTAGTAGCGGAAGGACGAAGTTACCCAAACTCCTGCCGATAGCGATGCCGTTGAAGCCAATGGAGGTGTGATAAGCAAGACCATAGCCAGCCGCGACGTTCACTACGTTACCGATCGCAGCGATCGTAACGAGTGGGGTCATGATGTTCTGAGCTTGCAACACTTTGCGAGTAAGTTCGTAGAGGAACAAGCACGGTACGCCCGGCAGCATCCATCGCGAGAATTCTCCAGCATAACTCGCGACCTCTGCGTCTTGGCCCAGCCACTTCAGGATCGGTTCTGTGAAGGCGTTAACGAAGAGCATCGGTATGAGAGTGACGGTGAGTACGATGACTCCAGTCTGGAAGTAGATGCCGATCTTTTCGTATCGTTTGGCCCCATGGGCTTGCGAACAGAGTGTGTCTAGTGCTGATGCGAGTCCGAGCCCGACAGATAGCGAGGTCATGTTCAATATCTGCACAACAAGGTTGAATCCGATGATCTAAATACCGTAAACAATATATAGACTTCGCTTGTACCGTGATGGAGAATGTTGCAGCGTCGACATAATGCTGAGATTGGGGCGAATCCATGTTTCCAGCGAGAATAATTGACATAAACCCCGGCAAAAATTCAAGAAACGTAGTGATCATCTAACAAAGCGAGTGTAAGAATTAAGTATTTTAGACTTGAAAAGATGGTATACTCACCACGGGGCCAACGAGCTTTACTAGAATCTTGGCTTCATCTTTTGGTTGTGGGTTTGGCTCGTCGAGGCGGTCGAGGTCTTGCTCACTCTGGAGTGAAGGCGTGATGATGCTCACGTAGGATCCACTGTGGATGCTTTTGTCATAATGAGAAAGTCGTTGACTCATTTGCACGAAGAGTGCCGTCTCAACCGCAAAAACGAAAATGATCCGGAATGTACGTTTGGACTTCGTGTGCACGTGATCAACGCGACCTATCGAAATCGTCTGGTTTCACTTGTGAAAACGGCTCGATGGTGACTGTCATCAGATGCACCACGGCATCCACTCATCACTGGTGAGATCGAGCGACATTGATAAGTCAATTCACTCAGCATCTCTATACCAACAACGCAAGGAGCAACCATTTACTATTATCACTTTAAAATCAAGTAAGCTAATAAAAATATTGGCTATATCGGATGGAAGAAGCTTGTCTGAGAAGCGTTTGGTACGTGCAGATGTATACATACAGAGCAACCATAACTTAGTATATCACGAAAACGATATATTATGGCTTATCGTCATTGACATTATTCTCTCAGACTGTTTTTTTTTGCCTGTGGCTTGGCATGCCAGCGATAAAATCTTACACCGTCAGCGTGATGCTCATCCTGATGCATTTTTCGTGGAACTGGGACGATCTTGCAGAATGACGCACGAACACGTACGAATTTTAAAAATTCCAGTGTTTAATTTTACAATTAGTTTTGAGCGCCCCCGATGTCGATGTTAACCATGACGGAGTGCGCCGCGACTGCCACCACACTATCCGGGAGCTAGCCAGCGAGGATCATAAGAGCTTCAAAAACGCACATTCCATACTAAGCATCAGCATTCCAAGTAACCCCAGCTGCAAAAAGAGACCCATGTATCGAGTCGCAGCTTTGAAATCCCATGGTTGGCGCCACCACTTCTGGAGCTGAAACGTGTCTGTCGAAGACGAAAAATAAAATTTTCTCGCTAATACGTGTACTACATATACCCCTCTATCAGTCGAACTTCGGCATGGGAGTGAAGACGAGAGAGTATCGTTGTCGTTATTGCGACTGTACCACCGTCTACTGTACGAGCTAGTATTCAAAATTTACATTACAAACTGCCACTCCTCCATCTTAGCTTTCAGCACGTCCAGAGAGATATAAACGATGAGTGGGTCACAGAGTCCACTCATCAAATGGTGATTACACAAACCTTTTGATGAGTCCTTGTGAACAGCCAGTGCAACTGTTTTCTAGTCTGGCATCTACAGAAGTTCTCTCAATAATTAGCGCAGTGAGGTCTTGATTCCAATCCTGCATAAATATTTATTATAGAAGGTGTACTGTGTACAAATAGATAATACTCATAATGTAGTGGTAATAGGGTTAAAAACTTATAGAAAGTATGGCGCATATTTTGTGAGGGGCTTCTGTTAGCATCGGTTACAAAGAATACCTTATTTCTTTCAGATTTTGGGCTAGTCCATCCTTAATGTGTACGATTAACCTTCTTTACCTACTTAGTAAAACGGCTGTGAAATCACTGTTTTCATCGGAATTCAGAAATCTGGTGTATTGTCGATCGATGTTATCTCGCTCAACATTCAGCTTATACTTTTATGTAAGATCATTGTAGAACGAATATTGTACAGCCTGGAGCCGTCAGTGTGTGTTGCGCGAACGACGCGTGTTGAAGTGTATTGAGGGCGTGGGGACTTGACCGATTTAATACCAGCGTCTGCAAGCAAAACTGTCAACTCAGCCTCTCAACCTGAAATCCATGGATTGATCAAAATCCACACAAAAAAGTTAAAATTAATTAATGATTTCAGACAAACGATCTAGCTCTCATAGCATAGAAATGCTGATGACGCATTTCTATATTTGTTGGCGTGTCGGTGATTTTCTGAGCGCAGGTTGTTGCATCCTTTTTACAATTTACATATATACTGTAAAACACGAGGACGTGTCATGGACCGAAGAAGAAACGTGTAATTTCGAAACATTACTCAGTACCGCGGCTTTGTTGCTTCTAGCAATCTGCTATGGCGGTGAACCAGGTCAGTATAAACCGACAGTAAACCTGAAGGCAAATTATTTTGTATTATAAACCGACTGAGTTTTTCTGCAAAAGGAGTTGTGATTCTGCTAAACTGGCACGTTCTTCAAACATGTAAACTGGCGAGTAAAACAAATGCATTCCCAGCTAAGTCGAAGGTGATCTAGTACCTAACTAACATTCCACTTTTGTCAGGTCAAGATGGTTATAGCCGACAATGTGATGACGTAACTAAAATATGTTCGAAATATAATCAATGTAGTGCAGTAACTAAAAACATCTTGCAAATTAATTCAACATTAACATTTTTATGGTCTAGTAATCAGAAAAATTCAAGTCGAAATGCCTAAAAAAATGAATATGTTCCAAATTTGTGCACTTTTTTATTGAAATTTTCTACCAATCACCATCAAACTCCAACCACTTCCACATGGCGACAACAATGACACTTCCTGCAGCGACGTCCTCACACGACAACACGGCTCTGAGCATCGATGACGATGAGCGCTTGCTTTCGCATAATGCTGCTGCTGCTTCTCGCGTCACAGGCGGATCCAAGGGTGCTGTAGTCGACCCTGCTGTGCATCGTTTTCCTTTCTGCATCGTGTGGTCTCCCATACCCATTCTCACATGGTTCCTCCCCTTCATTGGACACATGGGCCTCGCTGACAGCAAAGGGTGAGCTCTTAGTATTCTAATAAGCAAATGTTTATTGATATTAATTAATATTGGTGGTTTGATTCAGGATCATATTCGACTTTGCTGGGCCCTACACTATCGGGCGCGACGACTTTGCATTTGGATCTGCCACGCGCTACATACAATGCAACGTAGCGCCTGAAGACGCAGACAAGTGGGACGAAGCGGTTGCTGCGGGTTGCAACATCTACGAGAAGAGGATGCACAATTTGTGCTGTGACAACTGCCACTCGCACGTGGCTGTGTGTCTGGAGCACGCTAACTACGCTGGCCGCAAGCGGTGGAACATGGTGGAACTCTGCTTCTGGATGTTCTTTCGGGGCAAATATGTGAGTGTTGCCGCATTCATCAAGTCGTGGTTACCATTTGCATTCGTGCTTGCCTTGATTGCTATTATCCGATCGACTGCGTAAGCGAAGAGAGCGTTTCTGACGTCAACTTGAATACTTTCGATTAACTACTGGACGAGAGTGGAGTTTAAAATCGATGACAGTCACGATAATGTTGCCTATGCACTCCAGTCTTTGACAAAAGATGAACGCCACATCAATTGCGCAGGCGCCACCCTCCAGATCATCGTTCCCTTTGTAGCATACGTGTTGAAGTTTAGCTGTAGCCATTTCTCTCCATTCACAATCTGATAGGTTAAAATGCGTTCATTTTCACCCAATCCACACACCCACCGACACTTCCTCTTCCACAGTAATTCGAAGTACAAATTACCAGTATAAAGTACAAATTCTAATTGGATATGTCCGATACTACACGGCACCTCGATGCGACGCTCTCTGCGTCGACATCTCACGACGACCCTGAGCCGCTAGAAGCCTCGCAGTCAGTGCACCATACAGAGGAGACGCATGTGCAGACAAGAGAAGAAGAAAATACACTGGAACAGCGCAGCTTCGGCTCCGAGATGTCCCACAAAAGCGAGGAAGAAGAAGACGACGGCTGGATGGTCACTCCACTGGTCGGGCGTCAAGATGTGCGCATCAGCTCTGAGGAAATGACAGAAGAGGACGAAGCCGATGTGGAAGCCAGTGTCCGTGAGGCTCTGCGGCTTCTGGAGGACTCGATAGACGGCGGAGACGAAGGGGAGAGCGAGGGAGAACAAGAGAGAGACCAGTGGAAGGCTGGGAGGGCGGAAACAGTCTACCTTGACTTTGTACACGAGGTAATGGAGGACAGATGGACACTGGACGACATAGATGGACAGCATAATGGTCATTGGAGGACGCCAGAAGAACAGGTAGACATCGAAGAAGTGGAGATACAAGAGGACAATAACGAAGAGACTGTCGGTGAGGACAATGAGGAGCATAATGGAGACACATTGGATCATCAGGAAAGAGAGCAAGAGCAGCAACACGAGTGGCAAGAAGCCTATACAGCCAAAGGACGAGTATACTACTACAACAGACGCACACGCGAGTCTTCTTGGAAGAAGTAGGTTACTACAATGTTGGGGATACGTATGACGGTATTGATTTTTTGTCATTTTGCAGGCCGAGTCATTATAATCCGAGTTCAAACCAACCACAGCCGTCTGCTGCAGCTACTGAAGAAGAGTCTGTGCTGCATCGCTCCGTGTTGCGCCAGAGTCTTGGATATCGCCCTTCAGCTTCACCTTCAGCGTCTCCAATTTCCAGGATAGAGCGGCAGGCGACTTTGTATTGCAATTTTTGCGGCGAACAGCAGCCGTCGGACCAGCTCGCATCGCACTTTCAAGAGTGCGCATCAGCCAAGTTCCACAAGCGACGCTTGTCCCCGCTGTATTTGAGCTTTGAACGCGCTCTCGGAATAATGTCCGAGGACTCGACATTGAGATCGTTGCATTACGCGTCGTCGTTCCCAGATCCTACACCTCATGAACGACCAGAAGCTACGTCGATGCAGGATAGTTTGTTGCTACTGCGACCACGTCGTCGACATTCAAGTGTCAAAGACACGGATAGTACGCCGCAGAAGCTCCGTACCAGCCAAAGTAGAGTATTCGGTACAGCAGAGAACGGGTTGAAGGTGTCACCAACGAAGCAAGAAGCCACAGACGCACCTCCATCCCAAACTACTGACGCTGAGTCGTCCAAGCGTAAGAAAAAAAGCGTCAAGAAAAAGAACTCGCAAGCTACGAGTACATTCCCAGTAAAGCAGAGTATGGAGACGTGTCGGTATTGCAACCGGAGCTTCGCTGAAGGTCGACTAGCCAAGCATGAAGCAGTCTGTCCTCGTGTGTTCGGCAACGAAGGATCTTGGGGACGAGGCACTCCATCGAGCCAGACATCCCCGTCCAAGCCGAAAAGTACTCGAGTTGGCACACCACCGAGTTCTGTAGGCTCTGTGGCACTTAAGTTGCACAAGTTGAAGGACCACACACTGCAGCAGAGCTACAAAGAACATCAAGCCACGCTGGTGTTGTGTCCATGTTGTCACCGAAAGTTTGCACCCTCGGGAGCCCAACAGCATATTGCTATCTGTAAAGGAGTCCAGAACCGCCCAAAGAACCCCATCCCATTGCTACGTGACTACGCTATGGCTGGCTAATGGTTAAATATGGTACGAACTGTTGAGGATGTATTCTTTTGATAGATGTATAGATCAATGCAACAGCATTGTGCACTCCTTTTTTGACTGGCTGTTGTGCGCTATCATTTAGGGTCGGAATCCAGCGTAAGCCTTTTCAAGAATCTCCTTGCGGATCTTCGGATAGTCTGGATACTGGTCCAGTACCTTGTTGCAAACATCCACAGCGAGGACGAGTTTCTTGGCCTTGAGGTAGTTGAAGGCGAGCTTGAATCCGATCGCAGCGCTCGCTTCACCCTCGCAAGTCCAGGCTTCTTGATAGCATTCAGCTGCGTCGATGTACGACTGCTCTTTCTCCATCACCAGTCCAAGCAACTCCCAGGCTTTCCCAGACGACTTGTTATGAGTGAGTGTGCGCTTGCAGAGCTCCTGTGCCAAGTCGAATTTGCCTCGGTTGATGTAGATATCCGCCAGCAGCAGGTAGCTGCGTTCGAACTCGTCAGCGAGCGTTTGGTCGTAGGTCATCTTGGCGATACGCTTGAGTTGGTTTCGCGCTTTGGGCTGCTGCTTGGTGAGCATGTAGCCAGTTGCCAGTCCAAGTAATGCTGGAACGTAATCGCGATCGACGGTCTCGAGGATCTCCATGAAGAGCTGGATAGCCTTGTCCAACATGCTCTTGGTCCGAACAGCGAGTACAGCGTAGGCTTCCAGCACGCGGAGTTTGGCGTCGCGTTCGTTGCGAGCAATCGGCAGCTCATCCAGGAGCGTATTGGCGATGCGCAAGTTCTCCGTCTGCTCCTTCGTGTTGCCTTCCGTGGTGTCGTTAGCGGCATCCCAGAGGTTTTCGTTGTCTGGGTTGAGGTAGATCTCGATCATGTTGATGAGCGCTCGCTCGCCCCATTCCGGATCACGTCGAGCCAGATTGAACTCGTCGATGGCTTCCACCACGTTGTTCCGGTAGCGAGCGTACAGTCCCTTGCAAAAGTGAAGACCAGGTGCGTGTGCAACACGGACATTGGCACTGCGTTCTGCTAGCCGCAGATAGCGCTGAGCCAAGCCTCCTTGCTCCTTATCAGCCGAAGACGTGTGCAGCTTACCAGCCCGACGCAACATAACTAGGAACCGACTCAGAGCTGCGAAGTTGTCAGGACGACTATCGAGGAGCTGCTGGAAGTGGTAAATAGCGGAGTCGTTGTCCTCTTTTTGGAGTAACAAGTCAGCGAGCATCAACGCAGCTTCTTCGTGCGCTGGATTGAGTCGAAGCAGCGTTGAACAGCGCACCTGACACTGATCCAAGTCGCCCATCTGCTGATATGAACGTGCTAGATGCAGCAGCGAACCTTCGTGCGTTTCGTCCGAACGCAGAGCCAACGTGCAGTATTTGACGACGTTTTCACGCTCACTGTTGCCTGGGGCCGACGCGTAGATGGACGCTATCTGGAAGCAAGTATTCGCGATAGCTGCTCGCTGTTTGTTGAGCACGTCAGGCTGTTCGTCCTTCTGGCGGTCCAGAATCACCTTCTGAATAGCGTAGGCCTTCAACAACGCCTGCACTGCCATTTCGTCACTACCCAGACCACGGTGAATTGTTGGTAGAACCAGTTGCAGATTTACAACTTGGAGGAGATGACTCAGAGCCTCCGAGTCGCTGGATGGAGCTTGCTGGACGACACGCTGTGCCTGATCAAAGTGACGGAGTTTGGCGTACAGTTCAGCGAGGTCTTTACGCAACACCAAGTTCCCCGGTGCCATCTTGAGCGCTGTCTCGTAGTAGTCCACGGCTTTGAGATAGTCGTGCTTGGAGATGAGGACACGCCCGATACGGCCTGCAATTGTTGGGTCTCCAGGACTTAGTGCCTTCGCACGCTCGAAAGACTGCACCGCTTCATCCAGCATTTGAATACGTAGATACGCCTCAGCCAAGCTCACGTGTGTTGCGTGACACGGATTGATCGCCACAAGCTCCTGGTAGCAGCGTGCGTACAAGTGCTTGTCCTTGCGATACTGCAGATAGATGTCGGCTTTGACCATTTGCGCCTTCGTGAACGCTGGAGAAGCCACGGGAACACTACTCAGCATGGCGATAGCTGCGTCATAGTCGCCACGTTTGATAGCAGCTCGCTGTTGGCAACGAGTACGCGGACTTCTTGAGATGTACCACGGAAGACGTCGAGTGCTTCACGCACAGTCTTCGTGGCTTCGGATATATCGTTGAGCTGTGACAGCACTTGAGCCATGTGGATGTACACTGAGGCCTTGCCGAATAGTGATACGTTGTCATTCTCTGATGGTTTCTGTCGCCGGATTCCAGAACTTCCAGTACTTTGCGTCATCTTCATGGCGGTTTGCAGAGTTTGTAGTGCTTCACAGAGTTTTCGAGGATACGAGCCTTGATGATGTAGTACGAGAGCGATTGACGAACAGAGAAGTCGTAGCTGAGAGCCTGATCTAGAGAAGCTGAAGCTGCTTTGAAATGTTCACGTTCGAGACTCACTCGAGCCTGCATAAGGTGCGCCTTGGAGTGCCCAGGCTCCATTTTCAAGATCAAATTGGACACCTGATAGGCGTCATCTAGTCGCTGGGCGTCGAAGTAAGCCTGTGCGAGCACGAACTGTGCTCGAAGGAAACCGGGGGACTTGTTAACAAGCTTCTCGAGGATGTTCATGCCCTTGGCAACCGCATCTGAGCTGTCATCGGAGCCTTGCTTAGACGTATCCCCTTGCAAGAATTCTGTCGCCACTTCAACAAGAAAAATCGGGTTAAGCAGACTCATCGTATCGTGAGTGGAGACGTCAGGTCCCTGGATAGCCTCCTTAAGCTTGTCCATATGGACCTGCATGGTTTGTTGCAGCAGCTTGACTTGTCTGGGTCTGTCACGGTCTTTCTCCCAGCTGAGTAACGCTTGGAGGAACGCAAAGCTGGCACTGGCACCCAGGGATTCCTGAATAACACTAAGGAATTCCATTTGTTGAGAAGCGTCTTCAAGTTGTCCAAGCTTGATCTGACAGTAGATCATCCCGTGCAGCGCCATTTCATTGGATTCGTCAAGCTTCAAGGCTTCTTTGTAGGACTCCATGGCTTCTGCGAAGTCTCCAAGTAATGCACGCTGGTAGCCACGCTCGGCACGGAAAGCTCCGCTCTCAGGGTTCAGTTGAATGGCGTGCTCTATCAGTCCCAAGCTACACTGCAGGACCTCCGAGTCTCGATCTGATACACGAGCAGTACAGCGCGAGATCTCACAGAAAAGCTCTGGGTTGGCTGGTTCGACTCGTTTCAGAGCTTCAAGCAACTCTCGGATACGCTCTGCAGCCTCACGGGCCCGACCGTCACGAGACAAAAGCAGCAGGATCATGATACGCAGCGCCTCAATATCACGAGAATTCTCACTTAATGCTCGCTCCACACTGTCCATACATTGGTCCCAGTTGCCCATTTTGAGCAACACCAAGGCCTTCTCACTCAACGAGTGCTTGAACCATGGGAACTGCACAGTAAGCTCGTCATAGAATTCAAGAGCACGGGGATACGTCTTCTTTAGGTCAAAATACTTGGCCATGCCCAGCACTAACTCAGCATCTTTTCGACTAATACAAACATTATAGAAGTTAGTACAGATATTTTATAGGATACCTAGCAACTAAGTCACGTACTCCGTCACTTGATCGAAAAACTGGATGGAACCGTCACGCAAGTCTGCCTCTCGTTTGATCTTAGTATCTACAGTGAGGTCCACCCACCCACGGAGGATAAGAGCTCGTTGACGGAGTGCTCCATCGGAGCTGCTTTTACCACTGGTGCTTAATAATTGGTCGAGGATCTTGCGAGCCTTTGCGTGTTCGTTTAAGTGCCAGAAGAACGTGGCGCAGAGCATCAAACTCGCGCTAGATGCGTTCTCCTCGGCCATGACCAACTGCAGTTCCAGCTGAGCTACTTCGTCGTGGTCGACGTGTTTGCATTGCGAATGAGCGTAGACCAATGCGTGGAGACACGGTAGTTCGACATCTCGCCCAGTTCTTTTGAGGTTCTCGAGCTCTCGAATTGCAGACGAATAGCTACGCTCCAACACGATGCCAAAGGCGCGCCAGAACAAGATAGCCGAGTCGCTGCCTTTCTTCTCGAGTATTTGCTCACATAGACGCTGAACATGGTCATACCATCCTTTGCGAAGGTAATAGTTGATCAACACGCGAGGATCCATCCCAGCAGAAAGTAAACTATTGCGGCGCCCCTCCAGCTAAAAGAAAATCTAAAACAAAACGATCCAGTTTGCTTGAGGCTTTTGAGCGCGTTGGATCGCACATTTCAATGGCGTTAATGAAGCGTATTCCTTAGTCGCAATGTAAATTATGCTTAGAAAACTCCGTTTTTCTCAAACACTTCTTTTTAATAAGATTATGCTACCCATAAACCCACAACACTTCTTTTCTTAATTTGATTATGCTGCTCTTGTGGCATCATAAACCTCTTGAGCATGCCCTCATTAGCCACGCACCATTTCGTGAGATCTCGTCTATTCCGCAATTCGCCTCGTCCTGCCTGTGGCAAATCATACAACAGGAAGAGCCTCGTTAGGAATCATGCGTTCATATATGATCGCTCTAGTTCTTGTTGCAGCTAATCTCCTAGCTGACGGCGGTTGTACACCAGCAACTAGCTACCCTGGGGTTGAGGGGGAAACGACACAAGAAACTCAACTGTTGCGGTGGAATTCGGTTAACACAGGCAACGGAGAAGAAAGGGCCTTCAACTTTGACGCTTTAAAGAAGTTTATTCCAGGAAGAAGTGCCTTCAAGAAAGCGATGGAGCGCAAGGCGATAAAGAAGGCACAAGAAGCAGCGAAAAGGGAGGTGTGGTTTAACAAGTTAAAGACTGAAACATATCAGTACAAGGAAGCGTTCCCAAAATGGAAGCAAGAGCGTAAGTCACCAAGTGATATTGCACGAATGTTCTCAACTGCGGGCAAGAATAGTAAAGAAGCTGACGGGATCGTCGCGAACTTTAAAACTTTTCTTGGGGATGATAAAACTCCAGTGTTGCCGCGCGATTAAAAGGTTTGGAAACACGTACTCCTACTACTTGTTTCGCCAAGAGTGTTGTCGGCTAGTTATACTGTATTGTCCGGATAGGTGGTTGCGAATACAGATGTAATTTGTGGCGTTCCTAGGTGGATAAAACTTCCAGACAAATGATTATGCTACGTACTAGGGCTGAGGGATAGCATCGGGTCACGGAAGCAAGAACCTTGAAAGCTCTCCTCAAACCGCCTTGGGGCTTGGACGAAAAGGATAAGCAGATTTCGGAATATCACGGTCTAAAGTAAAACTATTTGTTGCTTAGCTCCTTTCCACTGTTTTACTAAAGGAGCCCACGCGGATGGAAAAGTTTCTAGGACGCGCGTTGTATTCGCATATTTTCTGGATAAGCAGCAGAGCTCCAGCGAGATGATGATGTCTGTAACGAGCGCCGGGTACAGCCATCGTTTGCCAAGCCGCCCGTGGTTCAAGCGGCTCTAGCACTGCTTCACGCGCCAGTTCTTCTATTGCAGCACGCACACGCATGTTTCTCAACTGAGCAATAGCGCGGGCCTTAGTCCTGCTGTGCACTAAGAAGCTTTGAAATTTCGAGGGTGGCATGTTAACCAAAACTTTAAAACTGCCAAAATATTGCAGGGAGTTGAGATTATGATATACCGGATGAATGTAATATGACATGAAAATTTACTTAAAATGCAGAAAACGGATCTTTTCAAATTCACAAATTTCCCTCTTTCGAAAAGCAAGACAAAGCTCAGTCATTCGAAGTCCACTGAGCAAAGTAACACAAGCCGATCTTAAGAACTTGATATGCTCTAATACCTATCGAAGGTAATCTACGGTTTCGATATCAAATAAACCCACGCGAGTTAATGTAGGTGCCAGTAAGATTCTTAATATCTCGCGCGAGTTAAGAGTGAGTTTCGAGAACTTGTATACTGCGTCGTCTGAGCAATTTGTTGTTATTTCTCCTCGTGTTCATCTTCTAGCTGTATAATTAAGCTTGCAGTGCTGTTATTTTGCCCCCATAGAGAGCGTGTTTGACTTGTAATGCGATATTCACAGCCTGTGTTCCACAAGACTGCGTAGTAAGTGAGGCTTTTTGAGTAATTTCCAGTGTTTTAAAAGCGTCAGATGTATCGCTCTACCGGTAGTATCGAATTGTAACTATGAATGAATGGGCCAATCAATGCATGTACGGAGTAGGTATGGCAGCGCTGAAGGAGTAATGCAAACCATAATACTCCCAACGACATAGCTTGCTCCGGATCATTGTCTCTAGTACAAATGCGTTTTGCTAAAAACTGTTGTCGGCTCTCGTCGATTACGTTCCAATTCCCTGTATAAACTGATTGCGGGTATCCTACCGATCTTTTTGGCGAAACGGCGTCGTACATACCATTGTGTCAATGCGTGTGCTGTTGCTTCTCGTTTTTTTCTCTTCTTGGTTACAAACTGCGTCCTGTTGGCGGCAATGGACATGGACCACCAACGTATCGAGTCCCACAGCAAGACGTGGTCATTCGTTCGTGACGTACGCCAGTCAATTGATCGTGTTCGGGGATCGAACGGAAGATACCACAAAGACTCATGTGCCAAAAACCTACGAGATCACTCGCGTCAATGGATCCCTCGAGTTTTTATCCTACGAGGACAAAATCGCTTACGAAACGGACTCGACTGTAGTTCCAGTTGCAGTTTTCTTCAATGACGTCTGGAGCTACAACATAAGTCAGTATTCCGAGAAATATGTCGTGTTCATTGCACAAATTCTTATCTTTTTTTTAAATGCTGACAGACTGTACCAGGTATGCAGACAATAGCTGCTTAAATAGGGCATGGGAAGTTTTAGATGAAGGTGCAGAGTGGGGAGGTTGTACGAAGGTTCTAGGTGCCTCCGTATGTACACATCCATCGGAAAGGTGGATGCACAGTGCTGAAGTGTTTAGTGACAAAACGATGGCAATCTACGGAGGATTCGGCCCCATGTGCGGCGATTACTGTGACGATTTGTGGTTATATGACTTCTCCGATGGCTCATGGACGGAGATGATCGAGTTAGGGAGCGCTCGCAATGGACCGGGGAAGAGATTCAAGTTCTCCAGCGTTGTATTGAACGATAAATTTTACGTTTTTGGCGGATTTCGACTCTGGCATGGATATGCACATGAGAACAGCGAAGAAAACGACTGGGGTGGAGTTCATCAGTACCCACTTGGTGGATATCTAAACGATCTGTGGGTGTATGACAAGGTCACTAATACTTGGACGAATATTACCGAGAAAGTCGAGTGTCCCACAGATTCGAAGCTTCTGGCTGATGCATTACTGAATAGTATTGAAGTTGAATGTGCAGTGACGTGGCCTCCAGCTCGAGCAGGACATACTTCTGTGGTTTTTGACAACGCCATCTTCATTCACGGAGGATATCGTACTTTTTTCCCGTACCCGACGACATCCAGCGCTGGTGCAGGCCGAGGAACGCTGGGAGTTCATGCAGTGGGATACACGCCGTACCCGACACACCCTTATTACTTGAGTGACATGTGGAAATATAATATTACTACAGGAATTTGGACCCGAGTTATACCGGACAGCGAATCTATTCCAGAATCCAGAGTGGATCACAGTCTCGTGGTCGCTAACGACGTATTCCTATTGTTCGGCGGCTACATCACTAATTATTACTACGACGACACTTGGCAATATAACGCTAGTACGTATTTAAAGTGCATGGACAGAAGTGTAGTAGGACTCACTTGTTGTGTTTTGCTGTGTCAGGTGCAAACCGTTGGGTCAAACAGCATTCATTTGTGTATCCAAAGTATCCAGCTTCATGCACCGATGACTTAGAATCTCGGCGACTACCGCACAGTGGAAATTACGCCGCGTATGTCCCATCTTCCAACTTAGCTGACAATCCAGATGACTACTATTTCATTGCAGAAACACACTACGGCACGAAAACGGTATCATATACGGCAATATCGCGAGATATCCATGATGTCTAATTACTTTATCTGCTGTAGTTTTCAGTGTTTGCAGAACCCACCCGAGGTTCAAGCCAGCAGAGCGTGTTCGTCCAACAAGCACGACGTCAAGCCCCAGGTTGGGATGGATGCCGTAATCGTCAAGACGGACGAGAAGACCTACCAGTAGCCCTACAATGGGAGCATCCGTCTCAACGCTCAGGACACATGAGCGTCTATCACGACGGATTCGATAAAATTTTTGTCTTTGGGGGATACGGCTACGAGCGCGCAGAAAAATACCACGATGCTATAACTTTCGCTGCTGCTTCTCTGGGAGATTTGTGGCAGTACGATCTTAACAATTGCATCAAGAACTGTTCGTTACACGGCACATGTTTGGCTGGGAACTGCCGCTGTGACGACGGCTACTATGGTGAAGACTGCTCGAATTCGTCATGTCCTGGATCGTACTGTGCGTACGACGATGCAAAGCAGTCGCAAACCTGCAATCATTGCTGCTTCTCGGGCTTCGAACATACAGACAACGACTCGTATGTGGAAAATGTACAGAAATTCCCATGTACCGTGGACAATGTGCACTATTCAAATGGAGTTTGTGACGGCTTTGGTAAATGTATCTGTAAGCCACCATTTATTGGAGATGATTGCTCTATTCGGAATTGTGGCTACAATTGCTCTGGCCGTGGGTACTGCTCCGTTGAGTTCCCAAACTCACGTTGTATGTGTGATGAAGGCTGGTACGGCAAATACTGCGAAACACGTAAGTGTCTTTCTTTTGTTTTTATTTTTTTAATGCACTAATGTTTTTTTTATAGAAATGTGCCTCAACAATTGCTCGTATCCGAATGGCGAGTGTGTGAACGGCAGTTGCTACTGCGCTATGGTCTACGAGCCGTATAACAACACGCTCGAGTACTTCCCGTTAATGGGGGAGGACTGTTCCTTCCTGGTCCCGTTCGCCGGTGCAGTTCGGATTTCAAGTTTTTCAATCATGATTTTGCTCATAGGAACGATTTTGACTCTTGTCCTAGTCAGAGATGACTGAATTCCAGTAAAAAAAAATCTATCCTTGTATCTTTCATTAGTTTTTAGACTTGTCATGTCGTTTCAGTGGCGACTCGTCACAACTGCTTCAACGCCCGTGATCTCCTATTGCGGCTGCTCGACTTAATTGTAGGATAGCAAAGCCTTGATTATTGACGCAGGATGGCAGGTTATGGCGGGGGCTACGGCCAGGCCAGACATGGACTCATGGTCGAGGAAGAGGACGACGAAGATCTGTATGAAGGGTTCAACTTCAGCATCGATCTCGCGCCTCCGCAGACGGCGGCGACCACCAACTACATGTCGTCGTCCTACGGTGCTCCAGCTTCTAGAGGAGGCTACAATCCACCAGGAACGGCCTTCAGGTACGATCATGGTCAATGACAAACTTCAAATGTTAAAAATTCTGACATGGTTATGTGATATTGAAGAGCACCACCGTCGCAAATGGGGAGACCAATTCCGGGCTCACGCATGGGCACAGCCCAACAATCAAGTGACGCACGACCCATGACTTCCGTGTCTGGAGCAGGATTCTCGGTATGAATTCGTGTTGGATAAATGTTGGATAATCCAACATTAACTTTATTTTTTTCACTTTAGTCGAATCCACGTACTGCCGGGGGTCAGAGAATGTTTGATCCTATGGGTGAATCTCGAAAAGCTGGCGCAGCCCCTGCTTTGGTAGAGAAAACTGAAAACTCCCCAAAAGAAGTGGCAAAAGAACTGGAACGGACAGTAAACGCGCTGATCGAGCAATCAGCCGAGTTGATTGCCAAGGAACAGTACGAAGAAGCGCTACATTCAGCCAAAGATGCTGGACGCAAGGAACGAGCATTCAACAAGCACTGCGAGCTCAATGGATTGGCGGATATGCTCAACATCGACTTAACTTATGCAGTTTTTTTCAATCTCGCAAATGCGTATCATTTGAATGGACTGTGGAAAGAAGCCATTCAGTCGTATACGCCGATAGTAAAGAACAAACAGTACGCTCAAGGCGGTCGATTGAGAGTTAATATGGGCAACATTTACTTTGAACAACAGCAGTATCCGACGGCTATCCGAATGTATCGCATGGCTCTGGATCAGATTCCGAACACCAGCAAGGAAGTGCGCTACAAGATCAAACGGAACATTGGAGGAGCGCAGATCAAGCTCGGACATTACCAGGACGCAGCAGCCACGTTCGAAGATATCATGGAAGGCAACGCCGACTTTCAGTCGGGTTTTAACCTCATCATTTGCTACTACGCTATTGGAGAGCATGAAAAGATGCGACGAGGATTCACGAACCTCATCACGATCCCGATGGAAGGAATGTCCGAGGAAGACGAAGACGAGTCCGGACTGGCCAACGAGTCGAAGCACAACGATGATACCCACACGTCTTCGAAAGAACACCTTCATTCACTCAAGACTGACGGGTTGAAAGCGGAGATCCGAGCGAGGAGGAAGAAAGCCATGGAGTACATTTTAGTGGCTGCAAAGCTGTGTGCTCCTGCGCTGGACAAGAAGGACTGGTTAGCAGGTTTCACGTGGGTTATCGACGCGTTAAAGCAGGAAAGCCACGAAAGTTTAGCGAGCGAAATGGAGATCTGTAAAGCTCATTGGTTCTTGAAAGAAAAAGAGTTCGACAAGGCAATCGAAGTTCTCAAGGCTTTCGAGAAGAAAGACCCCGCACACAAAGCCATGGCCGCTACAAACTTGAGTTACCTTTACTTTGTGGAAGGCGATACGGCTCAAGCGGACAAGTACGCGTCGTTGGCGGTGCGACACCAACGATACAACGCCAAAGCTTTGGTAAACAAAGGCAACTGTCTGTACGTTAAAAACGAATGTGAGCGAGCGAAGGAGCTCTTTCTCGAGGCTATCGGCGTGGAAGCAGACTGCATCGAAGCTATCTACAATCTTGGCTTAGTAAATATCAAGATGGGTGTACTAAATGAAGCGCTACAAGCGTTCGAGAAGCTTCACAGTATTGTCCCGACGAACGCAGAAGTACTGTACCAGATCGCAAACCTGCACGACATTATGGGCAACTACCGCCAAGCAGCCAAGTGGTTTAATATCCTCCTCTCATGCTTTGGTAGTAACGATAAACGAGACCGGAATACCAAGAACGTGGCCGACCCTGGAGTTCTCGCTCGCCTGGGTCAAATCTTCAATAAGGACGACGACGAGACCCAAGCTTTCCACTACCATCTTGAATCGTATCGATACTTCCCCATCAACTTGGATGTCATCTCCTGGCTTGGAGTCTGGTACGTCAAGAGCGAGTTGTATGAAAAAGCCATCCAGTTCTTCGAACGGGCCAGTCAGATCCAGCCCAATGAGGTCAAATGGAGACTTATGGTCACGAGTTGCTATCGACGTATGGGTGCCTATCAGAAGGCCATGGTGCTCTACGAACAGATCCATCAAGATTATCCTGAGAACCTCGAGTGTTTGAGATATCTCGTTGCTATTTGTAAGGATCTTGGTCAACGTTGCGACGGGTTTCAAGCCAAATTGGCCAAACTCGAACGTGACAATGCTGTTAACGTTCAGATGCCACCACAGCTAGCGCAACCTGTAGGCAACGGCCACTCACGGAACTCCAGTGGTGACAACGATGATTCACGAACTCAATCTTCTTACCAGAGACCGCAGGAAATTCAACGACAAGATAGTCGAGGCGCTTCGTCTTCTGTTTATGGAAATGGTAGCAGCACGCCGGAGTCACGAACACGTGAGAGCGACGACAACCGAAGCGATTTTGTTGCACCGCCACCAATGCAGACAGTAGCACCTACTACATCAAGGGCACCGCAGATTCAAAAGCGACCGAGCAAACACGAAGGTAGGAAAGCTGAAAGCTTTATTTTTTCGGGTTATTATTTTCTGATAGTTTTGTTGCAGAGACGGATGATTGGGGAGATGCTGATGTGGGTGACCTCTTAGGAGACTAAAAGCAGGGGATTGTTGAAATTGTAAGAGGCCATCGAATAATGGTAAACACGAACCATTTCAAAATGCTATCTCCTAAAGTAAAAGTGTAAACGATAAAAATCTTGCTTTTAACTCTCTTGGTAGGCTCTGATCACAGAGAGCGGCTCAGTCGGTCAGTGCTGTAATCGTTGACCGTGCGGTCAGCTTGGTACACTTTGCTAGTGTTGCAGTCTTGGGCTTCATCGACCATTTCGTCATCGGATTCTTGAAGACCCTCCTCCAGAAGGCGATTCAGCTCCGCATGCACGCGGGTGAAATCAAGTCCGTCATTCTGTTCGTGTTCGTCCCCACTTTCAACTGTAATGACGACGTCGGGTGGAGAGTTTGGCGGTGAGTATGGACGAAGAGGCTTGCGCGGATTCGGCATCACCGCTTTTGGCAGAGATCGCGAAATAGTGTATGCTAGCATCAGCGTTAACTTGCGAGGAATGGCCTTGGGCTTACAAGGAAAAATCGGAATTGAATCCGAGAAAGGTGAGCATACTAGTTATGGATGGGTAGTCGAAATGTGAATGATAGATAAAGTGCGTGGTTGACGATTACGCTAATAGTCAATGTCGTTCAACCATAGAATAATAACACCGGTAGTCATTGCATTTCAATCATTGAGTAAACATCCAAAATGAGAACAACTCAGTAAGAATGATTTTTTTTTTTCTCGATTTTGATGTCTGGACATGGAAGATACTACAGTACGTAGTAATAAAAGTGAGATCATTGAATTTATTGTCATGTTTCACGGACACAAGACGAGTATTTCGCTGCCTGTTGTAAATCTTCTGTGCGAGGAGGCTGTAGGACTCAATATTTAGTGCGGATCTTCGCAGCTTATTACTTCTTCACTGCAATACCAATTTTTCCGATCTGCTTGCCCGAGTTCTGCAAGTCAAACGCAGAAATCACTTCGTCCTGGCTAAACCCAAATGTCTCGTGAATGTAGGGCTGGACATTCTTACGTGTCACGAACTTGACCAATTCAGTCGTCAGCTGTTTACTGCCTGCTTGTACACCGCGGAGGGCGCAGCCTTGGATCAACGCCAGAAGAGGGACGTTGGGCATGTCTTCTTGTTTGATATCAGCCAGGTATCCGATGATAGCGATCATCCCGCCAGATGCTGTAGCCTTGATGCTCTGCTCAATTGTGCCAGCACCCCCGATCTCAATGACGTAGTCAGCTCCTTCTCCGTTAGTAAAACGAAGCACTTCGTCCGCCCAATTGGGTGTCGTGCTGTAATTGACCACATGATCCACGCCAAAGTTTTCCTTGACAAACCTTAGCTTTTCATCCGACGAGGACGTGACAATCGTCACAGCTCCAGCAGCTTTGGCGAGTTGGACACCCGTGATGGACACCCCACCAGTACCTATCAATACAACATGTTAGCGTGGATTCGATCATCATGAACGAACGGATACGTACCTTGGAAAAGCACGGTTTGACCCGGCTTCATGGGTACGTAACCATAGAGTGCATTCCACACAGTGGCGCCCGTGCAAACCAGCGATGCGAGTTGAACAAAGTCCAATTTGCAGTCAGTTGGGACCTTGATGATCGCCTGGGCCGGTACTGCGGCGAATTGACGTAGCGTTCCATCAACACCTCCACCTAGCATATACGCTTGGCTCTTCAGCGGACCGTACAGGTTGTCATAGGAGATGTTGATAATGACACGGTCACCGACTTGGATGTCATCGACTGCGTCTCCAACGGCAGCGACGACACCTGCTCCATCCGAACAAGGGACGAGGTTGTCCTTAACTGCTGCAGCCGGGTAGAACCCTCCGCAGATCTGGATATCACGTGAGTTGAGTGTGACACCATGGATCTCGACAAGCACTTCGTGGTCGCGAACGGTAGGCAGGGGCTCAGACTGGCATTGCAGATTGTGATGCGAGGTGCGGTCGTTGATACGATAAACAAGGTTGGTCGACATTGTTGCCGATGCTTGGAGAATTCAGGAATGCCCGGTCGCTCATTTCAGCACGAGACCTCGGAACGATTACGCAAACTGAATGAATGGATAAATGGGTAACCCCGAGGGGTTACCCATACAATACCCTCCCCCTCACCCCCAAGTCGTATCACGGTTCTATGGGAGTGAAACGTACTTATGAAATAAGGAAGTAGTAATACTAAAGTATGACCCACTACATGGTCTATGAGGATCACTCTTCCATGGTGTTGTAGCTGACTTGCTGGGTACGCTTATTACAGTGCCCGCCAAATCATTAAGACCCCCGATTTGGCGGGACACTTCTGACAATATCTCGGCTTCTAGCCTGAGTTGGGAACTGCTAGTTTGATATGTTCTCTCTATTAGGCTTACAGAGGTGCCACTTGTGTTAACAACTTAAATTTCAAAGTATCTGACAGGGCTGGTATACAAATGCAAGGTTTGGGCACCAGCGTCAAATTATTAAGACCACATCCTTTTTATGACGAAAATAGCTCTTTTATGAACAGACCATACAAACTTCTATATTAAAAGTTAGTACTTAGTCAGTCCACCTTTCTTCTTGATCACCGCTAGACAGCGGCGAGGCATGGACTCTATCAGCTTCAGCAAGTAGTCTAGCTGAATGGAATCCCATGCAGCCATGATTGCTGCCTCCAGATCAGCAACGTTTTGATACTGGTGGCCATGTGCGTACACCTTGGCCGCCATCGCAGACCAGACGTTCTCGATGGGGTTGCAGTCAGGCGAACGAGCTGGCCAAACCATGGTGTTGACTTGCATCTCCTGCAAGAATTGCTTCGATTCATGCCTCGCATGAATCGAAGCATTGTCTTGCTGAAATACAAAGTCAACACCGTAGTTAGCGTGAGCAAAAGGAAGTAGATATTCAGATAACGTATAAATATAGTCACCTGAATTCTGACGTCCACGCAAGATGGCCAGCTCACACTTACCTGCTGCGCTAAAACCGCCCCACACCATGACGCTCCCTCCGCCATTTTGGCGACGCAGATAAGACTGTGCTGGCTGGCGCATGTTCCGCCAGTAATATTTGAATCCGTCAGGACCATCTAGATTAAACTTCTTTTCATCTGAAAATATTGTATAAATCCAAGTTTCTAAAGAAAGCAAATATTTTAGAATACGAAATAGCAGCAAAATCTAAATACGACAAGCTTACCTGGCTTCAGTATGTACTCTTCCGCCCATTGCATACGGGCAACCTTGTGCGCTGCCGTGAGGGGGAGCGTGCGGTCCATCTTGGTGAAAACCAGATGGTCCACACGCTGCAGAACCCGCTGGATTGTCCTCACGGACGCCTTGATGCCGAGCTTGGTCTTGAGCTCCGAGGCGAAGAACTCGCCTGTTGCCGCGGCACGCACAAGCTGCCGCAGCTCTCGTTCCGTCAGTGCTGGTTGCCGCCCAGCCCTTCGCTCTCCACCGCTGTCTTCTTTTGGTCCCCGCTCCGGCTTGATTGCGTTCCGGACGGACGTACGGGACCGACCTGTCTTCCTAGCGATCTCGTGCAGAGAGACGCCTCCACCGTGGAGACCGACGATAAACCAGTGCTCTTGTTCGGAGAGGGCCTTGCCGTGGTCCATTTGAAAATGAAAGGCTCACAGCCTCCTTAGTCTCTAGCTATCCGCTCGTTTCCGCCAACCATCTTCTTATTTTGACCATCACTATTTTAATATAGAAGTTTGTATGGTCTGTTCATAAAAGTGCTATTTTCGTCATAAAAAGGATGTGGTCTTAATAATTTGACGCTGGTGCCCAAACCTTGCATTTGTATACCAGCCCTGTCAGATACTTTGAAATCTAAGTTGTTAACACAAGTGGCACCTCTGTAAGCCTAATAGAGAGAACATATCAAACTAGCAGTTCCCAACTCAGGCTAGAAGCCGAGATATTGTCAGAAGTGTCCCGCCAAATCGGGGGTCTTAATGATTTGGCGGGCACTGTAATCGATCTTCAAGTTTTAATTAAATTGTATTCCGGTTCAATACAGATTTTAGAGAACTCGGCAACAATTAGATGTGACGCTAAGGATCTGCATCTCTTCCTGGCGCAAAAGCATAAGGACACGTGGATGACGGAAGATGAAGTGAAACGAGGTGTGAAGGACGCTATTGGTTTGATAGAGGTGGATGTTGCGAGCCGAGCTACGACACATCGGCCTCCCGCTAAATGAAGTGGTGGATGTGGATGAAAACGAAGTAGTAAAAGGAAACGACTCTGTGAACGTTCTGGTGGTGGTTCGCTCAAATAAAAGGTTACGTTTAAATAGTGCTAAATCTTTGAAGAACGTTCCCAACTCGTGCCTTCAACGGACTTGCTACTCACTGAAGCAAGCCGTGTAGTCCGATTCACCCGGATGTAAGTATTATTTAACGCTTCGTCAATTCTATTTTGCCACACTTAGCAGCACGGAGATCAGTCACGTAGAAGCTCACGGGAAGCTTTTTTATATGAGCCTGGATGCATTCCGTACAGTATATTTATTGCAGGGGAGAGCGATCTCCCCATCTTCCCAGTCTTTAAGTCAACACCGGGACCGCCAACGAGGCAGTAACTACAATTTTGAATTGCCCAGGAAGAGAAGGCTAGGAAATTTAAATTTCGTAGTTACTTCCAACTTCTTGGAATCTTGCTCTTATTCGTTGGACTTAGGTGGTAGATCCAAACGCATTGCTTATACAAGATGATAACAGTACCACTCCTTTCTGATGCAGCAAGAAAGGCGTGACCTACGTGGTGTCGACGAGAAGCAAATAAGAGCTGTAGACGGTATACCCAGAAACGCTTCTTAAAACAAAGGAAGGGTTTTTCACTATATATACTGGTTTTTTTTAACGAAAAAAAACTACATTACATCTCACTATCATCGTCCGCATCAAATTATATTAATCATGGAAGTGCTTATTCTATATTATTTTCGGCTATTTTCTATGTTGAGTCATTTTGGCTGCTCAGCAGTCTATTGGAATGTCATCAACGCGTCATTAAAGTGATCGTCACTGACTAGAAGAAGGCTCCTAGCTTACAGTGCTGAAATCCGTGTTACCATGGGTACTATTATTTGACGCTACCAATCTTACACAAGAACATCATCGCCATCACGCAAAGGGGGATGACATTTATTTATTATTATTATTAAGAACATTAACCCATTCAGTCGTTGTTTATCTTTGGGATGTTAGGACTATTTCCTACTAATGCTGTCGTGAAGGCAAAAGAGCAGTTGCTTCTCCCTGATAATTATTGCATCGCTAAGTCTACAGCACGAATCGAATATACTTCAATAGACAATGGTGCTACCAGTGGCCGATGAAAACCTCTCCGCAGCAAGTATAACTGTGGAGCGAACATAGCGGTACATTGCTTTAACGCATTAATGCGCAGACAAATCTATCGGACATGAAAATGCGTATTGTACGAATGTTAAACTAGATTCAGGAATTCGTTGTTACGAAAGCTTGGCCAAATTCAACCTATAAACGAAGCTGAAATCACTTTTCTATCGCTACTGCAATTGGCGGTAGACCGACGGGCGCTCGTTCAAATTAATCCACTGATACCAAGATCAAAGTGGCATTTTGATGAGGTACGCCATGGTCCTAAACTGTATTCCACTTTAATTTTTCTATAAGGTACTTTTGCCATGGACAGATATGCTCGATCAAGAATGTGTCCGTTGTACCTGCAAACGTTTATACATTCAGCTTAGGTGTGCTCCCACGTCATTGTTTCCCACGACTTGCTAAATAAGCTCAAAATTGGGCCAGTCTTACAAAACATACCGCTGCGAGGGTGGCCTTGTCGGCCGTGAGCACTCCAGGGAGGACTGATACGC